GAAGGGGGTCAATCATGCTTAAGCACTGTACAAGACAACGTTGCTGGTGTGAGTGTGCCCTTAGTGCTCCTGACCCTCTCTACTGTTGAGCCACTGATTAGCAGTTGAGGAGGGGCTCTGCCGGCATCCTCCTGATGAGGTAGGTTGAGACTGCAGCATCTCACCAGGTTCTCCACTTCCTCTCTGTATGTTTCTTCATTGTTGTTGATGAAGCCCACTACTGTTGTATCATTAGCAAATTTAATGAGTGTTTCCCGCAGTGCTTTATAGTTAAACAACATGAGCCCTCCGCCTTAACTACCATTGTAGAAAAAAATCAAATTGATTAAAAACCTCGGGCGTCTCTATGTGAGATCCAACCAGAGCTCCGTTTGGACCTCCTCCCTGTGTCTTTGGTGTCAAGGTGTGATAGGGCTGAGTTCTCAGTAAAGGAAATGGCGTCATCAATGGAGCTGTTGGTGCAATAAGCAAACTGGTGGGGGTCAAGTCAAGTGGGAAGGGCTGATTTAATGTGTCCAGTAACTTGAAGCACTTCATCATGATGGGAGTCCAAGCCACAGAGTGGTGATCTTTGAGACACTTCAAAGTCGACTTTGGCACGGGGATGATAAAAGTCCCTCTGAAGCTTGAAGGAATAAGAGCCTGGTTCAGGGAAATGTTGAACATCGGCACGATGGATGGCACAGTCCCTGAACACACGCCCTGAACACACGCCCTGATATGTTGGCCTATATGACTGGGCCTGCAGCTTTGTGAGCATCAACTCTAGAGATGGATCTCCTTACATAAGCTGGATCCAGACTTCTGCCCAGGAGGTTGAGTGGACTTGCATACTTGCATGTCATTTAGGGCTTCAAACAGTGCAGTTGGGTGTCACGAGCCCTTTTCAGAATCCGTTTCTGCAAAAGCGCCGTAACTAAGCTTAGCCGCCATTACGTCTTTGTACGTTCATATTGATTCTGCTACAGTGTGATATTCTTGTCCCAGTCTGTGAATTCAAATTGCGTTTAGGTGTTGCATAGCAAAATTCTGACTTTCCCCAAAAACATTGATACTGATACAGAAACGGCAAAAACCTAAAACACCAAGAAAGTAATGATAAAATATATGGAGCATGATGACAGTCCTGACATGACAGAAATAAATGGATTTAAACAGGGACAACAGAAGATAGGTAACCACATTTGGGCTGTTCAATTCATTAAAACATTGTTTTATCATCAATGTATTAACATTATTTTTGGAGAAATTAACTTTAAATTTGAACTTTTACAGCTCTGGTCAGTGTTTTTCCATCTTTTGAGTCTTTGCCACACTTTCCGTTGTTTTCCAAACATACCATGAGGGGAAGGCTGCCTCAACTGGGAGGTTGCTAATGTTAGTTTCAATAGTTCCATAATTCAGCTTGGTAGCCTATAAAAACTATAGACACAAATGATAGTAACTGTAAGTCTGGCACTTTGTGATTAAAAAAATAAGACCCAGGACTATTAGGCTGCACACTACAGCTGTGCACTAAAATAGAGTGAACACAAACCACAGAATATACCTCCTTATTAACGGAGGTCTCCGCTCGATATACGTATGGGGGCATGAAATTATGTTTTTATCACATTCACTAAACAACCTGTTGCTCCTTAAAACAAGTCAGCATGTCTGTCGGTGAGATGCTTTATCCAATTGGACGTGTTGGCTCCCATGATCTGCATGGGCTTGTGGTGTCCGTGGGGTCACCCTGACTGTAAGCGATGCAAGCAAAATAATGCCATATTTTGTGCATCTGCTTTGTCAACAAGCTGTAGACGGTGGGCAAGAATAGCATCTAGAATGTTAGCAGCCATTGCTCTCGTTCTGGTTGTCACCATGAAAGTGTATTAATGTGTGGCACACCCACAATGCCTGGTGGGAGTGACAGCAGAGCTCGGAAAAGCACACACACACAACACCTATTGTCTGCAGGGAGTGAAAGCAGAGCGATGAACAGCACGCACACAGACACAAACAGCCTCACTGTTTCAGGTTGAGAAACCTGGAGTGGTATTAATAAAAGGTGGGCATCGCGCTACTTTTCTAGTATTGGTATACCATGCATCACTCAAAGCTGATGAAGGGAGACTTAGAGAAAGAGCTGACACCTGTGATCCCCACCTGCACTAAACAACTGCACAACCTGTGAGCTACAATGGAGATGTCATTCCTGTTACCTACATTTAAAATGAAACAAATATCTTCTGTCTCTAAATATAACCACAGGGTTTGGATTGAGTCTCTCACTGGGTTTCAAGTCTGTTGCCAAAATGTGTTGTCTGGCAGACATCCCAGATATCCAGAACTCCCAAATAATTCACTTCCAGGTCAGTTTCCATCTATCAACTAAATTACATTCCAATAAATTCACATTTAGGCGGTCTCATACAGTCAGATAGAAAACTTATTTTTAATCTTGTATTCTTTCTGTGTCACTTTTTTTTTCCAGAACTGGTCAATATGGAGATCAGAGGTTATGCGTGGGATTTTGTTTTTTCAGTTTTTTTTCTATTAATAATAGCTACAGGGCCTATAATGGATGAGACAAGAAAGCCACCCACATGAGACATTATAGGCAAACCAATAAGTGAAACTACTATTGACACATTGATATCACAAACCCGAGTACATGGTGTTTTATAGGTGCAGCTAAAACTAAGAAAGTCTAAAACGACAGCCTACGGCAAATTAAGCCTTCATGAAGGTTATAGAGTATGGTACACACACTGTTTTAGAGATGAGTTGATTAAACTTTGTGGTCATTTGGAAGGCTGTTTGTGTTGCTGCTGAATTTGATCGCATCATAGTAAGTAGTGTTTGAAAAGTTAAGAAAGGAAAATCCATATGATGGAAAGGTTGAATCAACAACTCTTCTGAGCCGTTATAACAAAACATTTGCAGTACGTGTTTCACAATTTCAAGATTATTCAAATACAATTCATTGCTAATTAATTGGATTTTTTTTTTCTTAATTGTAGCTTAAAATAAGTTTAAAATGAGAAAAAATACCTGATTGCTTTAAAAAACCACTTAAAAGTAGAAAATGACAACACTGTATTTGAAGTAGCTTTTATCATTTTATCTGATGCATGAAGCTTTTTTTTTTTTTTTCCCACAAAAATAAGGATTCAAGTGGATAAGAACCTATAGAAAGACTCATGTCCAGTTTGATGGCAGTATAATCTGACCTTTCAGGCAGGCTAAGTGTCACTGGATCAGAGCCAGATTTAAACAGCGTTCAAGCAGATGGTAGAGGCAGCCAGCAAGGACACACAAACATGCTCCTCTAGCAGAGGCAGAGTGATTGAGACAACCTGTGGTGTTGCCACCTGTTTTTTAGCACACTGCATAATTAAAGCATAGCCACAAAACTCTCTGTTCGATGCAATGACTCACTTTCCCAGCATCCCTCAAGCAGCACTCAATGAAACCATTCATCAAAGTGCTGAAAAGAGCTCAAATCATTCTTTTTCTTTCTTTCCTTTTGTCTTCCCATGTCTCCGACTCCTTTCTAACAATAAATCCTTTTCTGCTGTACCTAACACACACCAGCAAACCCTCCAGGGGATGCAGGGAAGAAGGCATGAGAAGGAAGAAAATACTTGACGTGCCAGGCTTTTCACAAAATATATTTTAACTTTGTGCCGCCTGGAAACCCACAGTGTGACTCAGAGGTAAACGTGACGATCATGGGGTTGGATATTGACCATTTCCTTCCTACCGCTTGAGCCCACCTTAGAGTTAGGGATGATTCATTCCATCGCATACACTCAGATCACACACAAACACTGCACTTTCCCATTACTGTTTTACTGCCACTGAAATAAGCACACAGGCCATGCCTCCTGACGGTTGTAATTTCATCGTAATATCATTCCCAAAAAAGATTTTGAGTGCAAAATGTTTGTCATGAATGGACGCAAAATGGGTTCACTGAAAAGAGAGTAAATACATCTTTGAACTGTGCTCTGTGAGGGTTTTAATGTTCTGTATGTTCTGAGTGAAAGTGCAACAAAGAAGACACCTTGTGTGAGCACTGATTCCCATTGGACAATTATGTGATGGGCTCCGAGCTAATGGGGCTGATGCTGGGTCTTAGAAGAAACTGTGTGCTTTACTATGGTGCAGGGATAGGACACATTACGATACAATACACATTATGATACCTTATGATAATATACAATACACTTTGTTGTCCCCTTGAGGAAATTTGTCTTGAACTCAAGTGCTGCACACATTTAGCTGCCTCTACAGTAGCATCAGTAGATACAAACAATGAAAACAATCCACATACTGTATATTGCACACAAACAATACTGCACAAGAACATCACTATTACACTATTGCAACACCCATACCACCTTAAAAAACATTATTTCTGTGATTATCTTTGGAACTTGGCCTGTGGCCTCATGCCTATGACCGAATCAGAGCAGTTTTGATATTCTTGTGCAACACATAAGACTGTAAATAGTAATGGACGAAGCCTGTGTGACGTCACCCCTCTGTTACTGCAGGGGGCCTTAGTGTCCCATTCATGGCGGCCGCCATGCTGGACATGCTGTCTCAACCTAACTGTCAGTCAACCTAATGACTGACAGTAGGCTGAGAGCTGGAGCCGGGGTTGGGTTTTAAGCCTGTAGACAAACTGTTTCAAAGTTCGTCAATCGGGTCAGCGTTATTGTGAATAACGCTTATCCTTAATTAAATTAAATCAAAACGGATGAGTTGTAAAAAATGAGCTAATAAGACCTACTTTGTGCTTTGAACCAGGCTGTAAACATGTTCATTTCTGCTGTGAAAACAGGCGTGTATGTGAAGTATGGTGCTTCTGCACACGGCCTCAAGCGGACACTCGATGAACTGCGGGATTTTGCACTCCGCCACTGCATCCTTTTTCAACACCGGATGTCATTGTCAGTGACATACAACCTTCAAGTTATTGTGATTGATGCAACAAAAGAAAAAAATACCTTGATGTATTGCTCCAGCTGTGGGTAAACTCTTCTTACTCCCAGAAGGACAGAGAGAAATGTCCTTCGGGGGAACGAGGTAGTGACCACATGTGTGACTTCAGGAAAAGAGAAGACATTAAAGCTCGATGACTTGTAGCTTTTTAGAAGCTCCTCGTCCGCCTTGTTTTCTCCCTCGCTCAGAATACTGCCCACAGCATATCGGCATAGTGGCCCAGGCACCTAAGATCAAAGAAATGTAGATTGATGAGAACAAACAAACAAAACGGACTGATTGATAATGTAGAAAGAGAGAAGAAACCAGGGTTATAAAGAGTCTCTGATATGAAAGCAGCACTCACAGATTATTGCTCTCAATAAATATCTGGCTCTTTCAGAATCATGTTTTCTTGATGTTTATGAGCAGGAAGTGATGGACAAAAACACATTGGTTTACGTCATCTTCCCACATGCCAGAATAAGGACAGAAAAACTCTGAAATGCCAACCTTCACCAACAAATCCAGAGTCCCTGTCTGTCTCTGGGGACTGATGAGTCACAAAGACTTGTGTCTACGACAAGGAAAAGATGATTCCAAAAATAATGAGGAGTTGGCTTAAAAAGTTACACTCTCTGATGTCAACCAGGTGCCAAATTTAAGGAGAAGAGATTGAAGTTTAATTGGAGCATTTGGCAACTAAGCATTTATTGCTTCTTCCTCCAATCTGAGCACCCTGGTGCCCATTAAGAAAAAAATAAGGGAGACACTCCTTACAAATGACTTCTCCTGGGACATCCAAGACGTTCTCCCCACTGTGCTGAGCTGAGCACTACAAAAGGCTTGTGCAATAAATAAGTCGAAATGGTCCAATTTGTTCATAAACCCATCAACGTTACACTTCAAGCACAGCTAGTGTGTCTGAGAATGCCGATTTTCTCCTTCGCTCCTCCACACACAAGGCCAGTCATGGAGAGAAGTGTGGTGTTCAGAGCACATCGTGGAGTGAGCATATTTCTCTCACAACAGCACGCTGTTTTCTAAGTTACTTTTTGGGCCATTTTTGCCTTTAATGGATAGTACAGCTGAAGATAGACAGGAAATGTCGGGGAAAGAGATCGGGGGATGACATGCAGCAAACATTGAACGTTTGAACCCACAGAAGCTGCGACAAGGACTATAGCCTTAACCCAACTCCTAACCCTCAAGCTTCTGTATGTGGGACGCATGCTCAAACCCCTGAGCTAAGGCAGTGGCCCATAACAAGATGTTTCAGATTTCCAACACAGAGATAAGCAGAAAGATGAGAATATTCCGCAAACAATTCTGACCTGATGGTTTATAACATTTGAGAACTTTTTTTTTTTTTTTTGGGGGGGGGGGCTTTTTTCCTTGCCGCTGGTCAGACCTGATCCCAGTGCCACCCGGCCTGAGGAATGAGTATTTACTGTGTTTCTAGATATTAAATCAATGTAAACTTAATAATTGCTGGTCAAACACAATAAGCACTTTATGGACTTACTGCTGTATCAATTAAATGAGAAGATGGTTTAAATGAGTCATATTGAAACAGGAGAGATATTGTGGTTTTTGCTTCATTTGTGAGCAGCTTTGTGTTTACTGCTCTGTTCCTCTGTGCGGATAAACTTTTGATTTGAACTGAACGGAAAATAAAAACTGCATTGACACCATGAGAGACCAGTTTCTAAGCCCGTATTATTGCTATTGTTTTCTCCTTAGTTAGATTTTCTTTAAATGTATGACGGGAAACGGTTTTGTCAAAAACACATTTTTCTAGTTATTGCTTTCTCTTCTCCCTCGAGTTTTCATTGTTGTAAAAATGACTGATTTAGTATTTTTATTTTATACTCCTTGAGTGATGAGCAAGCCTGGTGCCATCACTCTTTGGGGGTTAAAGGCTGAATTTAATAAACCCCCATACACTTAGTTCACTTTCATTTCCAGCCACAGTAAGAGATAACACAACACTTTGTTGAACATATCATCTAGTAATTGCTTCACTGACTTTACAGTAAGGAGCACTAGTACATTTGGGAGAGCTTTCACATGAGGATATTTTTGACAATTTGGATGTTTTGGGGGCTCACAGTGGGAAGTCTGAGCTGAACAGATGTATTAATCATCACAGGCTTCATGCAGTGAGTCCACAACAAAGAAATCCAGCCAAAAGCACAAGCCTCTGTCCACAATCTTTGTTTTTCCTCTCTAGACTCATCAAGAAACAAGAGTGGTGCCTTTTGAAGTGTCTCCAAAACACTGACAGCTCATCTGTAACAAAAAAAAAAAAAAAGCTTCCAAACTACTGTGGAAACGGGAGAGAAAAGTATCTTCACTCACATTGGAAAAAATCAGTCCTGGATTAAGTCAGGCTTGCATTTTAAATGTTTAACTCTGACCTTCAGAGAAGGCAAGTGTTGAAGAGATTTTTCTACTATTTCATCATTTTCCACAAAGACGAACATGGAATTTATACTAATTTCCCGACTCCGGAAGCAACCATGCCCGCAGCTTTCATCATATAATGACCCCGGACAGACATGGGTCCCTGAAGATGGAAGAAACATGTCATACCACCACTAGTCCACTTGTCATTCGGCTTTTTATTCAGAAAATTCTATGCGTCAAGATGCCCCTGACCCTGATTGATTTCTATTTGGAATATGAAGTTTGACAGAAAACTGCATGATCCACCCATGTCCCCGCCTTGGAGTTTGCAGGAAAAAAAAGTTGCACGCAGAGAGGAGGAGGAGGAGGAGGAGAAGGGTAGAGGTGAAGTGAGCACACTGGGTCAACACCCCCCCCCCCTCCTGCCTTTGTGACTGGCTGTTAAAGGAGAGGTGTTTGGAGAGTGGAGGCCGTGATTTTTTTTTTTTTTTGGTTAGCCATTTGAAGAAAAAAGATAAATCTGCTCCAGCCCTGTAACCATGGCAACCATCTCAGCACCAACTTAAGTCCTCGTTGAGATCTTTTGTTTCTCCAGAGGAAGTGATTAAAGGAGGTAAAAGTGCAAAAAAAAAGCGAGAACAGAGGATGAAAATAGCCATGCTGACACTCCTCCTCTGTCAGTTGCACTGTTTGAAAATGGTTCTCACAGTTCATATCAATGGACACTCTCTCACCATTTCGACACCAAACACCCTGTCCTCCTGAGAGCACTCTCTGGGGCTCCTAGACTCCGGGACTGAATGGCATCCTGAGGCTCGGAGGCTAATGAGCTGAAATCATTACGCCAATTATTTTAACTTAGATCAGGACTTGGCTGTGACTGCGCAGGAGAACTAGGACCTACGGCGAGCTTAATTGCCGGCTTGGAGAAGAAAAAAAAAAAGGAGGATGAGCACAACAAAAGGGTTTTGAAGCAGAGCTGGAAAGAGTCCACCGGTGAACTCTGGTTACATTCCATCAGGTCTCTATGCTGTGGAGGGTTTCAGCAGCTCCACTTAAGTCAATACCGCTGACAACTATAGCCCTGAAAATGATGAGTAATGTATTCAACGGATATATAATAATTGCATAATAGGAACTGGTAGAGGCAATCTCATTATCAAGTTAACATTATGTCCTAACATCAACTTGCAGATTTTGTTCTATTAGCGCTTCTATATAAAATACAGTACATTTCTTCTATGTGTCTTTAACAGGGGAGGGGGGAAATCATTAGTAATGGCCAAGCATGACACTTATCGATACTGATGAATTAGTACGCCTAACTGCTGATTCAGAGAAGAGGTTTTTTTTTGTGTTGGAGTAGAAGAAGTCACCTGTCGGACAAACTCTGACTTGTGTTCATGGTCAAATGTCGGCAGTGTGGGAGTCTTACACTGTCTCTAGGAAAGATCAGCGACATGCAGTTTGTAAGGCATATTCCAGTGACATCTCAAGAAGAGGGACAACTAGCAACAATTTAAAAACATTAAATATTAACATGTATCTCTATTGTCTTGCCTACTCCCTGAGAGTATAACCCTTGCCAGTATGATCATTTGAGATGAAAACAGTTCATTTGCCATTGTTGTTTCATTTCAATTTATGAAGCTATGTTTTTATTTTTTTTAAGCACACAAAATGAAGGAATATTGTGTGAAAAATGCAGAGCTCAAGTTCTCGTGTCTTGTTTAACCAGACCAGTAGTCCGAACGTCAGAGAAATGTAATTTCAATGCTGTCAAACACACAAAAGACGAAAATCATTTCATTTAAGATCCTGAAAAGAGATAAGTATTTCAGTTGACGAACACGCATGCTGCAGATTAATTGTATATCATTTCAGATTCAGTGTATTGTTAAAGCTCTAATACAACATACAAACTGTCCTAATGTTATCTAACCTGAAATGTGTTTTTAGTCCCTGTTAGAGGTCACTTTGTTATGGGAATGTATACATGTTGTTCCACATTCAATTTAAGTGTATGCTATCACAGATGCACATTTCTTAAGACCAACTTTCTCAGCCTACTGATTTACCCTGTAACTCGAGACCTTTCCACACTGTATCAAACTGCACTATTTAAACATTTCCAGGCGCTCCTCCTTGCTCCATTCCCTCTCTTGCTGTTTGGGTAGAGACCGTTGAAAAAACAACTCATGCTGAACTTGTGTTTTAAAATGTGTGAAACAGTACCACTGGATTATGGAGACCACAGACGGTGTGCTGGATAAGATATCTTCAAAGCATATCCAGAAAATATAATATCCTGCTGCTTTTAGACACTGAGAATTTAGGCTTTTTGACGTTTGGTCCGGGAATGCTTCAGCTTTGCCACTTTCAAGGGTCATGTGAAGATGTGGAAACCAGATCTGAGACCATGTCTAACCTTTTTTTTTTATTATGCCTAAAAACATACAACTATCATGTATCTAACACAAGTGCATACTGGGTACTTAAACACATCTTTGTATGCTACCCATGTGCAATATACACATTGTCTGTATATGCAAATTCAGTGCAAAAGGCTATGTGCAATTACACCTGCACTTTAAAGTTACAGGCTCGATAAGGGCAATTGTGCAATTTACATCAGCACCTCATAATCTTGTGCAATACTCCAGCACTTTTGCACTTTAATACTCCGGCACTTTACCTCCTGTAGCAGCACTTCAAGCACTTTATGCACTTTAACACTGAAGGTCACTTTATCCTGGTTTGTTTTGAACAAAATTGCACAACCACTTTTTACACTTGTATGTTTATGTCCCTGGCAACTAATGTACAGTTTATGTCGTTGTATGGTCAATATTTTTTGTATTGGTATCATTGTGGTTATATGTAATTGTGTATACTTTTGAAATGAACCATCAACCTGCCAAAGAGACTTTAGATGGAAATCCGCCTCTTGCTACGATCTGGTATATTTGCGTGTTTTTGTTCATTGATGTGCACTGCCTCTATTTTTAATTAATTAATTTGGGGATGAATGAGTTCACACAGGGAATGATTGGAGATACAGGACCTCCTCACAGGGGGATCAACTCATATATTGTGTTTCTTTTTTGCAGCAGAGGCAGCAGCAGAGGTGTAAAAGTTAAGAATCTTCAGTCACATTCATATAATGGGTATAAGTTTCTGTAGTTTGATCCTTAATAACCAGAGACCTCCTAAATTGGCAAGATTGAATAAATACTTCAATGACTGCAAAATTGATTTAATTAACTACCATATTTGTAAAAAAAAAAGTGACCATAGTTTCTAACTTAGCTTACATTTAATTTATTGTTAAACAGAAGTCATTTTGGAGTTGCATAGACGTCTTGCTTATAGGACCTTGTATGAACAACCTCAAAAGCACTTGGATAATTTTTTTATTACACCTGAAACAACAAGAAATTAAAAACTCAAAATAGATCAACAATTTTCACTGCAAAATCCTGAGAAAAGAGCGAACCCAACAATGTGAGGACTATGCTTGCACTGAATGTCACATTTTCTCGTGGAAAATTAGATTGACAATCATTTAAACCATCAAATGTTGACGGGTGTAGAAAAGGACATCCCTCTTCTACAACTTCATTAGTTTGAATAAAATAACATTACTGCCATCTACTGGTCAACTACACATCCTAGTTTACGAGGTAAAACGTGCCTGATTGTAAAGTGAAGATATTGTGCCAAATGTAATAAAAGAAAACTCGAGTCAATTAAAGTGAATATTTGTTGTGTAATAGATGGTGAGTGGTGTCATTGTTTACCTTTTTAGGGTCATCATAATATACTCCTATACATGACAGCTTTGGTCCAATACTGTGAGACTCCTTAAAAAGTTGTCCACAGTTTTTGTATGGTCCTTGTTTGAATTTGTAGGCAACTGTGATCTTCTTTATGGGAGGAGAGCCTGTCAGTACGATGATGTCTGACGATAGTCCCGAGTACAACATGTAACATGCTATTGTTATCAGACTTAACAACAGGCTAAAGACACACAGACTGACCCAGTCTTGCATGCTGACCAACACGACGAGCAGACAATTATTTAGGTCGATTCTGCTGAATATTTAACACACGGGCATTTTCAATCACAAGGCAACATTTTAAGTGAATGTTTCGTTGTTTTGATGGTGGCATTAACCCATAATTTAATTTAGACCAAAAGAGATTGTCGAGTGAGGATTGCACATGCTTTACTTCCTGGAATGTACCATTACTGCCGACCAACAGGGGGGGGGGTTAATATAAAAAAGGAACTTTTAAACCAAAAACAACCAGAACGAAAGTTCAAGTGAAACACATTTTATTGTTCACATTTTAATGTAGTGGAAGATTTGTAGATTTAACTAATTATTTTTTCGTTAGACAAATAATTAGCAGTTACAGGTTACTAATTATTTGTCTAACGAAAAAATAATTAGTAACCTGTAACTGCCGACATTGGTATACATGCCCGGTAATGTCACTCATTTAAATACTGTAACTTATTTTGGATGTAAGCCTATCAATGTGAAATAATTGTACAACTTAAATGCGGTTGGTTGGTGGTCAGAAAAATAGAAAAGCACAAGAAGATATTTGACACATTTTAGGGTTTAGTTACTCTTTAAAGTTAACATTTAACCATGCAGTCCCAACTACTTCCTGGATGTTAAAATCGCCTCTTGAGTTAGAGTTTTACAACAGCTGCATTAATAACTTTGATTTCTGTGTGTTTGAGAGATTTAAACATTTTCCTACAAAATAAGACAAACAATATCCATTGATTACGTTAAGCCTTAAATGGGCTTAAGTCACATTTATGGCCCGCCCCATTAATAAAACGAGGGCTGGACTCGTTGACATTGAACCGCCTGGAAAGCGATAAACAGCACATTATTTCTTAAACCCACATCTTGTCGGAGAGGTTCATCTGGAGTTCATGAAAATGGCTGCGAATATTAAAAGGTTTTACGGCCTCACCGCTAAACTACTGTCCGGAGAAACGTTCAGTTTCTCTGCACTTAAAGGGAAAGTTGTTCTCATTGAAAATGTGGCGTCTCTCTGAGGAACAACAACCAGGGACTACACTCAGATGAACGAGCTTCACAGTCGTTACTCCGCCAAGGGGCTCGTTATCCTGGGTGCGCCCTGCAACCAGTTTGGACACCAGGTAGGCTGTGTGAGGTGTGAATGAAAGCAGGTGTATGACATGAGCTTTTATTCCCCCAGTGCAGGTCATTACACTCAAAATATACAGTATATCTAAACAGCTCAAGCATAAGGCCTACTGTGCTACTAGATAAGCAGACTGCAGTAGGCCTACACTCTTGAATGCAAGGCATACTGTTTATTAGTGTCTACTACATTATGGTAAAAAATGTCATTTTTTGAAGATGGTTGGATACATTTAGAAAAGTCAAAAAGCTTTGTCCTTATATGGCTATGCAGTTTTTATTATTTAATGTAATTAAATAGCAAAATCCCCAATTACAAGTCCTTCATGCGAAGGTTTCTTACAGCAGCAATATCAATTCAGTGATCTCCAAGTATTTACAAGATGAACAATTGGGAATAATCCTATGGATTAATGATTAGGTAAAATTCATCTGTGTAGCTTTTATTAACTACTTTGTTGGGCAGTTCGAGTCCCATATTTTTTAATTTGATGATTGCTTTTTGTGTTAAAAAAGTAAATAAAACATTTGATTTTCAGTGAAAGGTTGAATACAATCATAAACTTGTAAATAACAGTAGGCTGCCTTGGAGTTGAAATAAGAACATCATGAAATGCAGTAACCTTATTTGTATGGGTTTGAATGATAACCTTAAATAATCCTATTTCATCAATGATTGATCATTAAAGTGCCTATCTATGGTGTACTGTTTCTGTCTTTTTTATATAACAGGAGAACTGCAAGAATGATGAAATCATGAAGTCTCTGAAATATGTCCGTCCAGGAAATGGCTTTGAACCAAAGTTCAAGATCCTCGAGAAAGTTGATATAAACGGAAAGGATGCCCACCCCTTGTTCGTCTATCTGAAGGACAAGCTTCCATTCCCCTCTGATGATGCCATGGCTCTTATGACTGATCCAAAGCACATCATTTGGAGTCCTGTCTGTAGGAATGACGTCTCCTGGAACTTTGAAAAGTTCCTGATCGGCCCTGACGGGGAACCATACAAGCGCTACAGCAGAAACTTCCTAACGATGGACATTGAGGCCGATATTAAAGAGCTACTTGAGAGGGTCAAGTAAGGTCTTGGCTGAAAAGAAAGTCAGTTATTTTATGCCTAGCCAAAAAAGATAATTAGTATACATGTTTTTATGTGTAGGCTATTTTATCATGTCTCCACCTTCACAGTAAATTCATGCAATCGTCCAAAGTCTGTGATATCTCCAGAGTGGTACACTTTGGTTGTTCAGCCTATTTACTTAATGAAGACACTCATTGAAGCCGTTGTCTGGGAGATGAGTTTCTGATGAAAATGTAAATGCCTGACTCGTCCACAGTGTACAACTTGTGTCACAAATACACAAATATATTCGGAAGATTTAATGATGAAAAATAAAGGATTAAATGTCATATAAAGTGCCACTGTCATTTGTGTACTTCAAAACTACAATGCATTAAAGAACTTCAGACTACTTTGAATAGGCCTATATGCTACTTAGTCATCTTTAAAAAATATAGGCATCTAATTTAGTCATGTTTAGGCGTTACCTGTCACCGCTAGGGCTGGGCGATATGGACCAAAACTCATAACTCGATATTGTTTAGCTGAATGGCGATACTCGATATATGGAAAACACATGGGAAAATAAAGTACCTGTTTGTGAATTTAAAAAGTAATATTATAAAATACAAATGTTGCTTAAATACACTAAAAGAGAGAGAGAGAGAGAGGAGGAGCAGGGAAGAGGGACAGACAGTCAGTCATCATCAGTGAGATGAGAAAAAGGTGACCTGGCACCTCTGTAAAGTTATTTTAATGCAACACAAACTATATCGATATTAACGATATTGTCTTACCCTATATCTTCTTTGAAAATATATCGATATATCTTAAAAACTCGATATATTGTCCCAGCCCTAGTCACCGCCGTGTATAACATTGTGAGGAATGTAATTTGCTACTTCACAAGTGTTGAATTTTCCAGTAGGCCTACTGTTTGTGCAAAGTAAGGATTTGACCTTTTTTGCCTCTCGGTATGTGGCTGCATGGCCTATTTAAACAACTCTTTTTTCTCTCTCTCTTTTATTGTTTTTATATTGTTATAATAGGTCAACAAAATCTAATAAGTTACCAAGATAATTCTCTAAACAGCTCGATAACCACTTTATCAATGTAGCGTCCCTTGTGTTGTATGATAAATGTACATAATTGTATAACCCACTGATATCGAGCTGGGCTTAGTGGATGAACGCAGTGGGGGGGTGTCCAGGTTTTGAACGCTCAACTGCGACTCATTCAAAATGGCTGGCCAGGAAGATCCAGTGCAAAGAGAGATTCACCAAGACTGGGCGAATCGAGAGTATATAGAAGTTATTACGAGCAGCATAAAGAAAATCGCCGACTTTCTTAACTCATTTGGTAAGTAGTTCACAACAAATTGTACGGATGAGCTCATTGGTTGGTTGTGTTGGCTTGCTTTCTGTATACGGCTGGATCGAGCGAGCTAGTTTAGTTAGCTGGTGTTGCTCATTGAAAAGACCACTCCCAGTTAGCGTGTAGCTTTTCTCTTTAGCTGTGAGTAAAGTAACCTTTGCGTGTAGCAGGGCGATGCCAGTTCGGTGTTAAGTTGCCTTAAACATTGTGTCGCTTGTTTGCCAATGATAGCCGCCTGGTAAGTGTGAAAACATTTAACGACAGATGGCTTTAAGGCTTCTGATAGCTGCAAGGCCACAGCTGTCATAACATCAGAAAAATAACCATTAAAATGAGTGGTAACCCCTGAACCATAGGGATGGAGATTTGTATTTTAGTGGACAAGATAAATTAAATACAACAAGCTGACGACCGTAGACTGTAAATGTTACGCTGACGACGTCAAAGCAGCTGTGTAATACAGAGGTGGGCAGTCAACCCTCAGTGTGGCCCTCAGGTCAATGTTTATATATCAAAACATGACAAAATCTGCCATGAAAACCTAGAAATATGTCCATAATAATATTTGATCACTGGTATATGTTGAGTTAAATTTGAGACATAATTGACTTGTTGTTTTTGTATCCTACAATTTGGCCCCCCTGGCAGTGAGAATTAAATGAATGTGGCCCTTGCTGTGACCAAAGTTGCCCATCCCTGATCTAATACGTCTATAATGTCCTCAGATATGTCGTGTCGATCCCGCCTGGCTACCCTCAATGAGAAGCTGACAGCTTTGGAGAGGAGGATCGAATACATTGAGGCGAGGGTAAGTAAACTGTATTGTACGTCATTTTAACAGTTTTTTGGGGGTATAATTTCAATTTCGCTTTATTTATTTATTTTTTTACATCTTTTACAGGTGACGAAGGGAGAGACCTTGACCTAGACGTCAACATGTAAAGTAATTGTGTCCCAGAGCTACCTGCCCATTCCCTGCCCTGATTTTTTTATATTTGTGTAATGGACTCCACCATCTCTTTTGTGGGACAACGTGGACCATTTTTATATAACATGGCTGAGTTTTGTGTTGTTTCCTTTCATGATGCATTTTTTAAAAGGGATAAGTGACTCTGCCTTGGGTTTTATAGACTCAGGCATGATCAAGGTTACAAAAGAGAAATATCCTCCCTAAATAATTGTTTCTTAACATATGCTGGAGCTCAATTATGTAACTGATATCAGCACAACCTGGTGACCATCTGTGTTGTATACAGTGTCATTACCACATCAGAGATTAATGAAAGAAGACATTTTTGTGTGCCAAGTTGAACAAGTTATTGTGTAGTCATCTTTGTTAAGCACCTGCTTGTACAGTGATCTGCTGGGTGATGTTTCAGGATTTAAATACTGTAATAAATGAATAAACTGTGTAAATGATAAATAATGACTTTGTTTCATGTTGTAGCTCATCTTTGTCGGATATGAAACTCAATAGACAAGATGTTATACATAGAAGCAAATTAAATCAAATGCTCAGTAGCTCTCAGTATTCTCAATATATAAGCTAAACAAGAAAGAAATGGACAAACAGCCATGGAAAACTATAAACACAAACAAAGGTATAAGTGGGTAAATGAAGGCAATACAACAGGTACTGTATGTGCAATGACATGGTTGCTGGAATGTAAATTAACTTAAATATAGCCTGAATTAAATATGTAAATATGGAGAAGGATTTGTGTGCATAATATCATTGATGTTGGACTACATATAAAGTGCATATTATCTGTATGTTAACAGAAGAACATTTTGTAGAAGTTATTACATGATATGCATATAATCATGCAATGTACTAGTAAGCATTGTTTAAATGATTTCCCCAACAACAGGGTAGAGTATCTATTCTGTGTTATCTTCAAAATAATTCACTCTGTTGATTTTCTTATCTTTTGCATAACTTTCATGATAAGAAGAAACCTTGTGCGATTTATACTCGTGATTTTGACATCTGCATTTCACTCTACACTGTGTCCTCAATAAAACACAACATTGGGGTTTACTTTGGTGACGTGAATAATGTTCTATACTAATTTATTGTTTTAGTTATGTTGGACAGAGCCTGAGAGTTACAAATTATATTGCCAACGACTGCTACTCTCTTTTATCTTGTTAATTTAACTAAAAAGGACTTGAGACTATCTTTGTATACATTGATTTTCAAACGTTATGGCATTGAAATACAAGATTTAACATCCTTTTTACACTAATCCAGAAAATTCACTCAGTTGATAATAAAGTCTAAGGAGATCATTTCCACTTTTTCCTTTCGTTCATTTGTAGGTTTGCTATGGATACCTGAATAACTTTCTATATGTATGGTTTTATTTGTTGGACAGAAGCTGATAGTTACACATGATATTGCCAATGAGTCCTATCCTCTTGTGCTTACAACAACAAATAACTTGAGACCTTAATATTCACAGTATGCTTGAGACTGGGGTGATGCTATAAACAGGAAATTAAATGTGCCTTAAAATGATCACATTCTCTGCTTTGTCTAAGGCAAGACGAATTTCCATCTCACAGGAAAATGTTCAATGAATTAAAAAGTCACTCTTTAAAACACTACAAACCAGGTCCTTGTACTACAAACACTGCAAAGTAAAATGGCCGAAATGCAATATGAAAGAATTTTTCCCTTAGTTTTGCATTTCAGGACGCCGTTTAAAAACTCCACTCATGGTATCAAATCATGTTCAGGTATGCCTCCCTCCTCAAGCCTTTACAAATAGGGAGCTCTGACAACCTGTGACCATAGCTAAACCCAGCTGTTAACAGACTCGATTTCGACCACCAACGAGACAAAGAGCCAACCACAGACTGAAAATACGAAGAAGCCAACACGCATAGGTTGCCTGTGAGGCAAATTCAGGGTGAAATTCCCTCTTCCCAGAATGCACCGCGTGATACACGGTTGCATCTTGGGACGAAGAAGGTGTCGTTGCAGTGTTGTGATAAGTCCTTGGACGTGAGATGAGTTTTCTTGCGCACGATTTTTTTTCCAATTGCCTTTTTGAAAAACGTTCAGTTGCTAGAAACATTTTCACAAAACTACACCGGTGAGTCACTGAACAACTTTGACGAGACATTTAAACAATGACGTAGAGAATTATTAGCACCGTGTTTGTGCTAACGGGAGACCGAGAGAGTCCATGTTGTGTTTCTGCTCATCAGTCCACCTTACTGACTGAATGTCCACTGCTCTGTGTTTCACGATCATATTCGTTGTCTTTACTTTGATTCTAGGTTCTAGTGGTCGTGTGTGTGCAGCAAAGAGAAATGGGAGCCGATAAAAGGTGAGTAATGTTAAACGCCAACTTCATGTTAGCACAATTATCCACTGTGTGTGTGTGTGTGTGTGTATATATATATATATATATATATATATTGTAATCCAAGTAAATAACTCAATCCTTCATCAGAGGAAGAAAAGTAAGCTTTAAGTAAGTGATTGAACTCAGATCAAATCGTATTTGCCAAGTCAGAGTTGTTTTATTTCCTCTGGAGGATGATCAGTAATACTGATATTTAATATTCAAATTTGATGCAATAATTAGAAAATTAACTTGATTTTTTTTTTTTTAAATTATGTAAAATATTCCTTTTTGTCTCATAAACTGTAAATCCTGCGGAATGGCGCAGAACATATTGCTATGTAACCCTCATACTTCCTTTATAATTGAAATAACACCAACATTTCATATAACTTTTGTTGAACATTGTGATTTAGTTTAAGCTGGAGAACACTGATATATATCTTAATATCAGAACAACAGACCAGTGAGGACTGAAACTTTTAATTGAAAAATCAGCTGATAGATTGATATACTCAGTGGTTGCTTGTTGCATAGCATAAGAGCTTCTCTCTGTCTGCATCTCATTTATCACCATAAAGACAGAAGTCATGTCTTGAGTGTTTTTTTGTTTTTTTTAA